AACAAAGTCAGCCGATAGGAGCTGAATTGGGGGCTGAGAGTCTGAGCGTGGCTTAGCTCAATGCTCTCAATTCTGAAAGTGAAACTAACTTACTTGCTTGATAAAAACTGATATCTGTTCTGAGCTGCTGCTACTTGTGTTTTTGCTTATATTACATTGAAAGAATCTACAAATGGTATTGTAAACTTTACTCATATTATTATGTTTATAAAGAAGTTAATGATCCTGCTGAATCAGTCATCTGTGTGCTTTCTGGACTTGAATTTCTGCTGCAAAATCTAACAGGTTATGGGCCCAGCCAGAACCAGAACACACTAAAAGACTGAACTGTAATTAAGCTGAGAGATTGACTGTGTTTAAAATGAGAAACAAGACAGAGAGAAAAGCTTTGCAGGATGGCTGAGAAAATTAAGGAGACCTCTATGCCTCGTTTGGGTCAGAAGAATTATATTATTTGGGCTGCAAAGATGGAATGTTTCCTGAAAGCTAAGAAACTGTGGGATATTGTGGAAAGCCCACCCCAAGCACCCTTAACTGCTACAGATCAGAGGCAGCATGATAGAGCAATGGCTTATATCATCTTAAGTTTACAAGATGAACAGTTTATCAATGTAGCTGATTTAAAGACTGCAAAGGAGGTCTGGCAGAAATTAAGGACTGTACACCTGAGTGTATCAGCATGCAATATCGTGCAATTATCAAGGAAGTTATACAGAGCCAGTTTGCAACTGGGAGGATCTGTTGAGCAGCATCTAGTGAACATGCAAATGTTGTTTGTGGAGTTAGAACAGCATGGGATGCAGATTCCTGAATCTCAGAAAGCACTTTTGGTTTTGAACAGTCTAGACGATTTCATGGGATATTGTTTCTGTAGTGTTTGAAAGCAAACCAGAGCAGGAACTGCGTTTGGAGGCGTTGAAAGCGTGTCTGATCGTGGAAGAAAATAAACGCCATTTTAGAAGCCAGGAAGAGAAATCCCTGCGGAGGGGGCCCAAGGAGCAGAATGGAAAATTCCACAGACTGGCTGTCTCCAGAGAAGAGAAGAGCAGCAGGGGATATCAGATTACAGAACAGCAACAGAGATGGTGCTTCATTTGTGGTGAAACAACTCATTTAAAGAAAGACTGTTTGCAAAAGAGAAATTTTTTTTGCAAGAAATTATTTGCAAGACAGAAGAAGCAGTTTGCAAGGAAGACAATTAGCTGATGGACAGGCTGCTGTTGCAAAAGCTAGCAATTAAAATGGGAGAAATCAATGGCTAATTGATAGTGGAGCTAGTCAAATAATTGTTAATTCTAAATTGTTTTACAGGAAATTCCATATCTGGAAACAAGATTTAATGATGTTTTGTGTGTGCCTGAAATGGAGCATAATTTGCTAAGTGTCTCTAGTTTAGACAAGCAAGGATTTGAGACCACATTTGTAAATGGGAAGATGTCTCATAAAGCACAATGGGATTGTATGTGCAAAGCAAGATAACTTTCATGTGTTGCAGGAACAAAATATTCATTGTGCACAAATATTTGGGGATGTGGCAAAACATGATTCATGTGTTCATCTTTTGCACCGTAAGCTTGGCCATGCCAGCTTCAAAGTTGTTCAAAAGATCAACCAGTTTGCAGAAGGATTGCATGTAAAGGGATGTAAGGCATATTTGGACTGTGCAGTATGCAAATAATCAAAGTCCAAGGCATTCCCAGGGAGCAAGAGTAGCACAAGGCAGACAACAGGAGCTCTAGAGCTGGTACATGCAGATTTAAGGTGGGCCAATGCAAGCCAGTTTGGGAGGAGCTAAGTATAGCAGGTTTGGGTTCTGCTATTTAAAACAGAGGTGCTACAGAAAGTTAAGCAATGGGTAAGCTTCCTAGAAAGGAGATATAAACAACAGGTATGTCGGCTGAAAACTGACAGAGGTTCAGAATTCATGTCAACAAGTTTTCAACAGTGGTTGGGACAGTTAGGAATAAAACACAGATGCACAAATCCCTACACAGCAGCTGAGAATGGTGTTGCTGAGAGACGGAATGGAGTCTTACAAACCATGAAGGACTCACTGCTGGAGGATTCTGGTCTGAACAGGTCATATTGGGGTGAAGCCATATTGTCTGATAATTATTTAATTAATAGGCTGTGGAGTTCCTCCATTAATGATACCCCATATGCAGTGCTATATGGGAGAAAACCATCTCTGGCACATTTAAGGTGTTTGGAAACAATGTGTGGATGCATATTCCAGAAGTAATTAGAAGAAAGGAACAACCAAAGGTTAGAAAGCTCAGGTTTATGGGCTATGAGCCAGGCTCAAAGAGTTATCGCTTTAGCGACGGGTGCAAGAGAATAGTGATTTCAAGATCTGCTAGCTTTGCAGAGCAAAGTTGGAACAGGATTGATGAAAATTTCTGGAATGATTCACTTAGTGACAGTGATCCACTTAGTGACAGTAACTCACCTCGTGACGGTAACTCACCTCGTGACTGTGTCAGCATTCAGGGAGGAGAAGCTGAACAAAATGTAAAGCAAGAGAAGGTTGAAACACAGGAGCAATGCCACGCAGGTCAGAGAGAGAGAACAAGGGGATTCCACCTGACAGGTATTCTGCTAGTAAAGTTAAAGTGCGTAATGTATGGTAGAAGCCAAGAGACTATAAGGAAGTATTGGCATTACCTAAAATTGAACAAATAAAATGGAAAGAAGCCATGGACAAAGAAGTGAAATCCATGGGAGAACATGAGGTGTTCACATCTATGACTTTGCCACAGGGAAGCAAAGCTGTAGGATGCAAGTGGGTATACAAAAAGAAAGTACTGCCCAATAATGAGGTACAATATAAAGCATGGTTAGCGGCACAAGGGTTTTCACAGATGAAAAATGTGCACTATGATGAAGTATTTGTGCCAACTGTAAAGAGTGAAAGCATCAGACTGGCACTAGCGTTGGCAGCTGCACATGGCCATAAAATGTGGCATTTTGACATAACCACTGCATTCCTCAATGCAGAATTAGAGGAAGAAATTTACATGGTTCAAGCACCAGGGTATGAAAGTAAAAAGCCTAACACGGTGTATAAATTGAACAAGGCCATTTATGGGCTGAAGCAGCCAGGAATTGGAATATATGTCTAGATAAAGCATTGAAAGGTCTTGGGTTCAAGAGTTGCAAAGCTGATAGTTGCATATACACTGGAAAGTTACAAGGTGGGGATTGTCAACTATTAGCATTTGTGGATGATCTTTGCTTCATTGCAAAGGATGTATCACAGGTAAATGAATTTGCTAAGAAGTTGGAGAAGAAATTTGAATTAAAGAATTTGGGAGAAACAAAAAATTATCTCAGTGTGGAGATACAAAAAACTGAGAAAGGTGCTTATATTCTCAGTCAAAAAAGGGAAATTGAACAATTGTTGGAGAGATATAACATGAAAGATTGTAATACTGCTCCAACGCCTATAAGCACTGATTTTCATAACAGTTTGGGTGAGGACAAAAGTGAAGCCTGTGACCAAGAGATAAATCAGTCAGCAATAGGGAGCCTGTTATATCTGTCACAGTGGTCCAGACCAGACATAGCTTGTGCAGTAAGCATTTTGAGTCGCTTTACTGCTGCACCAACGCAATTGCATTGGATGGGTGTAAAAAGGATTCTCGGGTATTTGAAGGGAACTATGAATTTGGGTCTTCAAATACAGGTCACTGAAGAATTAAAATTGAAATGCTATATTGATAGTGATTATGCAAATGATGTAAAAACCAGAAAGTCCAATTCTGGGATTGTGATATTGTTTGGAGGGGCTTTAATTGGTTGGAAGTCCAGAAAGCAAACAACTCTAGCCATTTCTGCTGCGGAGGCAGAATTTATTGCTTTGTCTGAACTCTGTTCAGAGGTAACTTCGTATGTACAACTGTTACAGGATTTAAATGAAAAGGTAACTGAACTGGTATTAGTCTATGAGGACAATGCTGCCTGCATTAAAATGGCAACAGGTGACAGTAAGAAATAGAAGCAAGCATGTGGACATAAGAGAAGCCATCAAAGGTAAATTGATTAGCTTGCTTCACTGTGCGTCAGAAGACAATTTGGAAGAGATAATGACCAAGCCATTGGGTGGAGTACACCATGGGAAGAATATAAAGTTAATTGGATTTATGTCTCTTCCAGTTATGAGAGGAGGAGTGTCAGAGTATATTCATTAACTGGCAGAGACATAGTTAACAGTCAGCCAATGGGAGCTGAATTGAGGGCTGAGAGTCTGGGCGTGGCTTAGCTCAGTGCTCTCAATTCTGAAAGTGAAACTAACTTGCTTGCTTGCTAAAAACTGATATCTGCTCTGAGCTGCTGCTGCTTGTGTTTTTGCTTATGTTACATTGAAAGAATCTACAAATGGTATTGTAAACGTTACTCATATTATTATGTTTATAAAGAAGTTAATGATCCTGCTGAATCAGTCATCTGTGAGCTTTCTGGACTTGAATTTCTGCTGCAAAATCTAACAGCTTCTTCGGTTCTGACTGAATGGTCGTTGGATGGAAGGATTTATAGTTCTCTCTCTGAGAGTTGTTGAGGCCACTTGGAGATGTATCTGTGCCCTCAGGGTCACCTGAATAGTTCCACACCTCTTTGCAATATTCAAGTGACCCTGAGGGCACAGATACACCTCCAAGTGGCCTCAATGACTCTCAGAAAGAGTACTAACAACCAGGTGACTGCAAGGAATATAAATCTTTCCATTGTCCACCATTCAGTCAAAAGCTTCTGAGATGAAAAGTGAAACGTTTTCAAGGAAAAACACAGTGTAGTTGGCTTTGGAAAAAACACCTTTGGGACATGCTCTTATTACCCACCCAACATGGTGGATGAGAGTTTTTACTTTCAACAGTAGGGGGCCAATTTGCAAAAAAAATTAGTAGATAGTGGGAATGCTTTCGATGGTACAAAGCAGTTTCTTCTCAGCTCTTGCTAAGAGATTTTAATTTTCTCCACATTCTTTCTTTTCTGTATCTTACCTTCGTCACTGCCCATAAATGCACCCTGGGGTGAGTCGGGAATTCCCCCCCAAACATCAATGTTTTTAGGGTAATCCGTGTTGACGGATCGGGTCTCCTCATTGAAGCGATAATACCTGCATTGCAAAAAGAGAACGTTGAGATCCATTGAACGAAAAAGAGGCCGATTTAAGGGAGGGTTGGACTAGAAGACCTCGAGGGTCCCTTCTAACTCTTACGATTCTATGATGGGAACTGTGTGTGAAATTGACATCCGCTTCATAAAAACCTTCAGGAAGGCTGCAATGTCAATCATTAAATCTTTTGCAGCCTTCTGACAAGCAAAGCTAGATTTATTTATTCCAAAGGTGCTTTTTCTACATTTTAGATTCATTCAACAGCTACTAATTTAACAACTGTGGCAAGAAAGGTTGTAAAATGGAGCAAACTGTCTTGCTTAACAACTGTCTCACTTAGCAACAGAACTTCTAAGCTCAATTGTGGTCGTAAATCAAGGACCACATCCATTAATACTCTGGGATAATCCCTTATCCATCTAACAGAAACGAAGATGATAAACATTTGGCCAACTCACTTATTTCCCCGGAAAAAGTACGTTTTCCCACTTGGCATCCAGAAAAGAGCAGTGTCGATGCGATCCGTGGGGAGCCTCCTTCCTAACTCCTTGATATGTTTCGGGTATCCTGGCTCCAAGTTGGCTTCGTTGAAAACCCAATGTTTGTCTCCTGCAAGGAGAAGACAGGCAACCAGCCATGCTTAGTATCTCTGGGATTTTTTTGAGAAACATCCAAAGCAGTTGGGTTTCTCTAGTCTAGTGAAAAGAAGGACTAGGGGAGACATGATAGCAGTCTTCCAATATTTGAGGTGTTGCCACAAAGAAGAGAAGGTCAACCTATTCTCTAAAGCACCAGAAGGCAAGACAAGAAGCAACGGATGGAAACTAACCAAGGAGAGAAGCAACCTAGAACTAAGGACAAATTCCCTAACAGTGAGGACAATTAACCAGTGGAACAACTTGCCTCCAAAAGTTGTGGGTGTTCCATCACTGGAGGGTTTTAAAAAGAGACTGGACAACCACTTGTCTAGAATGGTATAAGGTCTCTTGCTTGAGCAGGGGATTGGACTAGAAGACCTCCAAGGTCCCTTCCAACTCTGTTATAGTGTTCTGTTCTGTTGGCTGTCTGATTCATTTAAGGTCAAATTGAAAAATGAATAACTTGAAACCCCATGTCTGAGTTGTATATCATTGGTGGCTTCAGGTAGTTCTGATGCAAACAAAATCATGAACATTCCTTTGTTCATTCCAGTAAACTTGGAAATGAGAACTGGCTTGTTACCTTCTCAAATCAAATAACTTAATTGCAGTGCATTTTGAGTTGGGCTCATAAGAAATAAGAATCAATAAGAATCGAGGACTCGATTATGGTCGTAAGTTGAAAACTACCTGTATGATTTGCTGATGATTTACAATTGATGGGCAGGTCACAAATTCACATTTTAGGCTCAGTTTGCAAAAACTAGGAGACTATGTAGAGAAAGGCGAGAGTTTTAAATTTGTTCTTCACGCTCTGTAATCTTGCTGGCTCTGCCATTCAGGCCCAAAACATAGTCCACTAACCTTTGAAAAAGACAAATTTCCCATCTTTCCTCTCGTAGGCTGTGTTGATTGAGGCAGGAAGACCAACCCAGAATTGACCGATCGGGAGGGGACATCCGTCTATCACACGGTTGTTACGTACTCGCCAAAACCATTTATCCTGAAAAACGTGAAATCTTCATTGCATCAGTCAAGTTATGCAAATGAAAAGAAACGTCAGCAGGCTTCATTTCCTTGGGAAATTCAAATCTAGGCATCTTCATGTCTAAAAATTATTAAATACAGATAGCATAGATCAGGGATAGGCGATTATAGAAAAGTATGACATACAACCATAATTCCAGGCTCAATTATGGCCCTAAATCGAGTCTACCTATAATCCAGATGAAGTTGAATGGAGTCTTTTCTAATAAGAGAAACACAGCAACCCATCAGTGGTTAATTTCATGGAAAAGTGGGCTGGGTTTCTGACAAAAATATATATTTTTTCAAATGCAGGATTCAGTTGCAGAATTCTGCCCCACGCAGAACGATGGAATTGGTCCAAATATTTGGGGATGTGGCATCTCCCACCCACCCAGCAACCTTCCTCTCTGTTCTGCGATGCTAAACCCTCTTGAAACATCTCACCTTAAAGACAAACATCTCGCCCCGGAGTACCGCAATGGTGTCAAACCGTCCGTCACAGATGTTGGGGCCATAAGTCGGGTTCTTGGGTGGCCCGTGAGGGTTTCGAGGTTTTGGAGTAGTCCGAGGGATCAGGGGAGGTTTGGTGGGATGGCTACCTTCAGATCCTGAAGAGAAGGAAGGAAAGAGTTGGTCCAAAGTTTCCCCTGAATTCCAAAACCTGAGATGGCTAGATAGAAGCTTCTCTAACTAATTGTCCTCCCCAGGGACAATCTCCCATCTCCACAACCACCAGCTGAGTATGACGGGAGTTGAATCCAACTCAGGGTGGGTTCTGGAGTGAAGAACACTTATCTATGAGTTAAGGAACACAACTAAGAATGGTCAAGGCTCCCTCCAGAAAGGATTAAAATCAAACCTTGCCATTCTGGACGTTCTTGAGTTGACCAAGAACAAAAGGCTATGCTTGAAATGGTGTTTGGGGAAGAAGAGAGAAAAATCCATGGAGGATGTTAGGAATATAAGTCACCTAACAGGTATTTGGGTCAGAAATATATAAACCAGGATAAACATTTTAAAACTGTATCTTTAAGAAAATGCAAAACCGTAATTAGGTGTGGTTTCTCAAACGGCCATAAGATGGAGCCAGAAACCTGGGTTGTTTAGTCTTAGTCTCAGAAGAGAGTGTGAGTGTATCTGTGTTTCCTTCTGTTGGAAAGTATTGCCCTTCCTCCATTTCTTCTAATTGACTGCTATTACTGGATTTGATGTAAGTTTGTTACTGAACTGTTTTTGACACTGGACTTTGATATTGGAATTATCCCTGAAATGAACACTGACTGATTTAACTGTGAATGACTTTGGATTGCTTGTTTGGACTTTGCTTAACGTTTCTGGAAGTAAAAACCTACATTTACTGTACAGTGTATCTGTGTGCTGTGTGTGTATTATTCAAACACTTCTCTCAAATACGTCTCCCTATATGCGCTCATTCTCCTAACGGGGAATTACCTCAACAGAGGACCTAGTGAAGGTTTGGTGGCAAGAAAATTTCAGGGTTATTTCCTTCTCTTTTTCTAATTTCATGGCTCTGATTTTTTTTATTTTTTTAATCCTAAACTCTGTATAGCACTGCTTACCTCCAAAGGAATACCATGAGGGATATGTGTGTATGAAGCTATTCCTTACCAACCGGGTAATCTTTTTTTAATTCACACCTGGTCAACAGGTAAAGTACGCATAATTTCTAACAGAGCCTCTAGCCAGCCCAGTGTCAGGTAATACAGGTTTTTTTTTCATCCTGAACAAAGCAAGGATGAAAAACAAGAGGAAGTTTGTGATCACAAATGATGGAAGTAGTAGACCAGCAATCATGGCTTACCTCTTCTTGAAAGGCTTCCATTGGTAGCGCTGAGAGAAACAGCTGCCTCCAACCTGGACTAAATTTAGTGGTCTCTATATTTGCTAGGATTGGAGACGTCAAAGAAAGAGAAGAACAAAAATATGAAGCTGATGGAGGAATCAGGAGATTGCTATAGGATTGTGCACCTGGAATTGGGTATGTCTAGTTGAATGAAAAGAAGGACTACGTGTGACATGATACCAGTGTTATCTCAGGGGCTGCCACAAAGAAGAGGGAGTCAAACTATTCTCCAAAACACCTGAGGGCAGGACAAGAAGCAACGGATGGAAACCAACCAAGGAAAGAAGCAACCTAGAACTAAGGAGAAATTTCCTGACAGTGAGGACAATTAACCAGTGGAAAGACTTGCCTACAGAAGTTGTGAATGCTCCAACACTGGAAGTTTTTAAGAAGAGATTGGACAACCATTTGTCTGAAATGGTATAGGGTTTCCTGCCTGAGCAGGGGGTTGGACTAGAAGACTTCCAAGGTCCTTTCCTACTCAGTTATTATATTATACCATAGAGCTGTTGTATCCCCCGCCAGTCATCTTCGGGCAGTTTGAAGTTCTCCGTGTCCATCCATTGATAGAAAGGAGCCATGATGGCGGAAGGGTCGTTCGAGTGCTCTAACCCCAGTGCGTGACCCAACTCATGGATGGCGACCAGGAAGATGTCATTTCCTGAAAGACAGAGGGAAAGAAATGAACTCGGGGCCGAGGGCGTTGTTGAAAAACCCTATCTCATCCTTCAGCTGTTGCAACTTCCCTCAACCTGCAGGAACCGTGGAAGAGAGAGAGATTGCTTCACAGCAGAAAATCAGGACTACGTAGCTCAGCAAAACTTTGAGGAGGTGGAGGATGGAGCCTCTTCTACGGGCATCCCCCAGTTGTGACCCCAAAGGTTCTCACACAGGATGGGGCAAAGGGAACCAAGAACGTGATCAAGGAAGTCTAGAGAAGTAGAAAAGAGAAGCAACGTTCTGTTGGGTCCCGAGCAAGTGAGTAGCGCAGATGGGATTAACCACGGATGGTTCACCATTCGCGAGTCACTTGCACAATCTCTCTGGCTTCTGGTTTCCTCCAAGGGACACAGTCTCCATCCCCACCTGCATCAAGGTTGCCCCATAATCCCACCCTCACCGCTGAAGTCATGGTTGCGAGAGGTCTATCTATCAAACAACTAACTATTGATTTATATATCTATGTATCATTCTATTATCTATCTTTCTGTCTGTCTATCTATCTATCTATCTATCTATCTATCTATCATCACCTAACTATATCTATCTATCTGATTTATATATCTATGTATGATTTTATTGTCTATCTATCTATCATCTAACTATATCTCTATCATCTATCTATCTATCTTATCTATCTATCATCACCTAACTATATCTATCTATCTGATTTATATATATATGTACGAGTCTATTGTCTATCGATCTATCCATCCATCTATCTACCTACCTACCTATCATCTCTCTATCTTTCTCCCTATGCCTGCCTGCCTGCCTATCATCTATCTATCCCTGCCTCCCTCCCCCCCCTCTCTCTCTCTGCATACCTGCCTGCCTGCTTGCCTGTGTATCCATCCATCCAATTACTACAGATTTATCCACCAATGTGCCTGTCTGTCTTTCTGTCTGTCTGTCTGCTGCCTGCCTGCCTGCCTATCTATCTACCTACCTACCTACCTATCCATCTGGTCCATACATTAGTCTGTCTGTCTGTCTGTCTCTCTAATCAATCTATCTATCTATCTATCTATCTATCTATCAATCTATCTATCTCTGCCTGCCTGCCTGCCTGCCTGCCTGCCTGCGTATCAATCCATCCATCCATCCATCATCCATCCATCCATCCATCCATCCAACAACTAACTACAGATTTATCTATCAATGTGTGTCTGTCTGTCTGTCTGTCTGTCTCTCATCTCTCTCTCTGTCTCTCCCTATGCCTGCCTGCCTGCCTATCATCTATCTATCTATCCCTGCCTCCCTCTCTCTCTCTCTCTCTCTCTGCTTTCCTGCCTGCCGGCTTGCGTATGTATCCATCCATCCATCCATCCATCCAACCAACCAATAACTACAGATTTATCTATCAATGAGTCTGTCTGTCTGTCTGTCTAACTGTCTGTCTGCCTGTCTATCATCTATCTATCCCTTTCTCTCTCTCTCTCTCTCTCTCTCTCTCTCTCCATTTGGTCTATACATTAATCTCTCTCTCCCCCTCTCTCTCTGCCTGCCTGCTTGCCTGCCTGCCTACCTGCGTATCAATCCATTCCTCCATCCATCCATCCATCCATCCATCCATCCATCCATCCATCCATCCAACAACTAGATTTATCTATAATTTCTGTCTGTCTATCTATCTATCTATCTATCTATCTATCTATCTATCTATCTATCTATACGAAAATGTTAAGTTGCCACCAGGTAAACATGCCATAGGATGTAAATGGATATATAAACTGAAGACAGGTGTAGATGGGACTGTTACCCATAAAGCCAGGCTAGTAGCACAAGGGTTCAATCAGACAGCAAATGACTATGATGTGGTGTTTGCACCTAGTCTGAAAGCTACTACATTAAGGGCAGCATTAGTGTGGGCAGCTAAGGAGAAATATATTGTAAATCATTTGGATGTGGAGACAGCTTATCTGCATGCAACACACTATATATTTAAAGAAACCTTTAGGTCTCAAAAATGATAATACTGATAAAACAACTGATTGCTGGAGATTGAAAAAGAGTCTTTATGGTTTGAAGCAATCGTATACCTCCAGTCTTTTTAATGATTCCAGTTCCTTATCCATTGCTTTCTGCCAAGCAGCCTGATCCTTAGCAGGAAACAGTTTTAGTTCACTATAATTACTTGGAACTGTATTCACTTGACATACAACACTAGCCTGATATCTATCAGGTGGTCGTGTTACTCGGGTTGAATGTCTTGGTACTACAGGGCTTAATGGTGGACTTTCCTGTGCCACCTGCTGCTGTTCTTCTATTTCTTCCTGTGCCTGTTCTACTACTTCCTCCTGTTCTTACTCTTTAATGGCTATTTGGGGTTTACTGATTTTATCTTTGGGGACTATTTGGGTGTCAATAATAATATCATTGCTGGATTCCTGTTCCAGTTTATCCCACCCAATGTGCTTGAGAAATTTTGCACTAGCACTACAATAAACATGAGCTGTGCCTTGATCCCAGAAGCTAAATGATCTATGGTTGGCCTCATAACCCACAAAAAATAACTTTTTAGCTCTATGTTGCCCTTTCAGTCTTAATTGTGAGGGAATATGCACCCATGCTAGAGCTCCAAATGTGTGTAGGTAACTTAAATTTGGCTTTCTGCCATGCCAACGAGTGAATGGGAATTCTCCAGTTCTTGTGTTAACTACACTGTTCAAAACATGGTTGATACACATTATGGCTTCACCCCACAGTGTTTCAGGTAAACCTGAATCAGGTAACATAGTGCGAGCCATGGCTTGTATTGTTTGCCCTCTTCGTTCTATAAACGAGTTATGTTGTGGTCTGTAAGGTGCAGAACGTTTATGCTCTACACCAGCCAATTTCAACATATTTTGGAATCTTTTGTTAACAAATTCAGTCCCATTATCAGTTACTAAAGTAATTACTTTACTTTTCATTTTTCTCTCAGCAAACCTTAGCCAGTTAAAGAAATGTTGGAATGTTTCTGTTTTGTTTTTCATAAGATAGCAGAAACCGTATCGTGAGTAATGGTCCATAATACTCAAAATATAACAGGCACCTCCTAAACTTGGTTTCTTAGGACCAATTATGTCAGCAAACACAACCTCTAAAGGTTTTGTGGTCTTAAACCCATTAAGTCTGTTTGCTGGTGTAACCTTACTCTTTTCTTGACTACAAGCATTACAGTGTAAATACTTGCTACAAGGTTTTAATTTTACTCCCTCTGACAATTTAACAGTTTGTTTGAGCATTTTGAAATTAATGTGCCCTAGATGTAGTAGTAAATGTATACATTTACTACATTCATGTAGTAAATGTATATGTTCATCATGTGGCTTAACATTGTTATAAACTGAGTTAGCCATCTGCAACTGGTCATCATGTATCACATATAAATCATTCTCTAATGTAGCAGTGACACTTTTACCCTCTTTCTCTATTATACAGTTATCTCCCCTAAAGGTTACTACATAACCAAGATTAACTAAAGCCCTTACTGATAACAAATTAAATTTCAGTTTAGGTACATATAACATAGTTAAATGTTCGTTTATACAAGAACAATATGCAGTACCTTCACCTGATGCTTTAATCTTCCATCCATTTGCCAATGATACATGTTGTTTACTCGTGGACATCTTTATAAACCTTTTTCTATCTTTAGTAATGCATTGTGATGCTCCACTATCAACAACCCGCAAATCATGCTTTACAGTTGAATTGCTAGACATAACTAAACTAACATTCTTCTTGGCCTTCTGGTGTTTGCCAGTATTCTGTTGTTTTCCCTTCTTACAGAATTTAGCTATATGTCCCCAAGCCCCACAAGAAAAACATTTCCTAACAGTATAGGCAGTTGAAGATAAATCCTCTTCTTGTGGTTGTTCCTTCCTCAGTTGGTCCCTATCCAGCCGTCTTCTTGCTTCTTGCTTCTTCTAACAACCTTCCGGTTATGTCAGTCAATGTCAGTTTATCTCTGGGCAGGACTTCCAGTGAAGATACATAATCATCATAACTTTCATCCAATGAGGAAAGTATGATATAAACTTGATGCAGCTCTGAAAATGTCAGTTCTTTTTCATGTAGCTCTTGAAAAGTTCTTTTCATGAAGTTTAAATGAGCTAACATATCTTCACCTTTCAGAAGATGTGCTCTAAACAGTTTACGTGTAAGATGTATGTGTGCACCTACACTGTCACGAACATAAATCCTCTTCAAATTCTCCCAACACTTAGCAGCAGACTCTTCTCCACGAATATGGACTAGCTGCTGGTCACTCAGTGTTAGTCCAATTATACAAAGAGCTCGTTCGTTGTTCTGGTTAAAGTCAGCAAGCTTCTTGGCATCATCCTCATTTTCTGGATCCCAAGCATTTACATCCGGTGGATCTTGAACTACATTCCATAACCCTTCTGTACGCAGAAGTAGACTGCACTTCATAGACCAGGAAACATAGTTCATTCCATCCAACCGGGTTATCAGTGATAGACATGTAGAAGTGACTTGTGCCATCTTTACCAGGATAGTAAACCACAATTAAACAGTAAACAGCTGTCTGTATACAGTACTGTGTATTCACACTAACTCTCAGTTATCTGAGCCTAGTATGGTCTGGGCCCATAACCAGTGTTGAGGTAATTCCCCATTAGGAGAATGAGCGCATACAGGGGAATTACCTCAACACCCAGTACTGGAAATGCCTGTGCTGATAAGAAAAACAAATAAACTGTCAGTGATGGTGCCAGATAGGAATATGGAGATAAGCCTCCATGAGGTCTATGGAAGAGAAGAGGTTGCCCTCCTGAACTAGGATGGAATGCAAGGTCTGCATTTTGAAATGCCTGTATGGGATGAACCTGTTTAAAAACTTCAGGTTGAATTTTCAAAAAACCTTTTTCTAGTTTTATGGGGGCATTTTAAAAAAGAAATAGTAATTTGGGTAAAATATTCATCTTTATTACCGCTATTCTTCCCATGAGGGATAGCTTTAATTTGTCCCATTTTTCCAAATCTTCAGTTATTTGTTTTATTAGTGGGTTGTTATTATCTCTTTTGAGTGTTGCATATCTTGCCAAAATTGTGATTCCCAAATATTTGACCTTCTCTACAATTTGGATGCCCATTATCACTGCTAATAATTCTTTCTGTATATTTGTCATATTTTTGGTAATAATTTTTGTTTTGTCCTTAGATTAGATTAGATTCAACTTTATTGTCATTGCCATGGATACAGGCAACAAAATGCAATTAGCATCCAACCAGGAGCGCAAAACAACAGTAAAATATAAATATAAGTATGCAAATATGCAAGGCATCCATGGATATGTCAGTGGAAAACACAACAAAATGTATGTACACGAGCACACAAAGGTAAGTGTGACTGCACATATATGAACATATACAACTGTACAAAAAGTTTACGGACACATTGAATATAAATACAAATGCACAGAG